TCTTTTATTTTTTCTATTAGTTTTCCTAAATTCTCTTTGTTCTTTTGTTCTTTTACGTCGTCGTTTTCCTTTAGGTATATAAGGAATTTTATTTTTCTTTATTCGTTTATCCCTATTTTCTGGTCCTATATCCATAGCAAATTGATCACAGAACTGACCTAATTATCTTCGTTCTGATAATTGTTGTCTTTTAATTTGTTGATTTAACTTTATTTCATTACATAAAGCTAATCCTTCTTGTGTGCAAACACCTATTAGATGACCATAAGTATAATCATCATAAGGAATGTAAGGAAAATCTTTCCTAAGAACTTTTCTTATTCGTTCAGCAAACAGAGTTGGTAAGCCATCTATAAATTTAGCTTTCCAATAAGAGCTATTACTTTCTGGTAATTCCATGACTCTTGATAAGAATGAATCTTTATACCATCTAAAAGAAGTAAGTGTTTTACACTTAAAATTATTTAACAATGTTCGAATATTTTCTTGATTATTAGTGAATTTTCCAGAAAAATGTTCTAATATAGATGCTATCAAAGTATATACTGCATCTTCCATCATAATGGGTGTAGATGTTCCTTCATTCTCAATTTTTACTGTATTATAAATTTTTTGTCTATCATTTTCGGTTAAATAATTATCCCACCATCCTTTAAGGACACCAAGTAAAACCACAAACAATCATTTTGCGATTGCACGATCTGTATTACCATTTGCTTTTGCAATCGAGGAGTACATTAACATCCTATGCACCATATTAGTTAATTGCCTATCAAAATGCATCACAATTCCATTCATAAACGAACGACTACTATAACTATTAGTAGTTTCTTGATGTTCTTCATAAAGAAGATCTTGTGGAGAAGGTCGAGGGTAATAATAATGATTCATATATGGTTTATTAGCAAATTTATTATGTCTAGATTTATGAGAAAGACGATTTATTTCATCTCGTAGAGTTTTATCAAAATCTTTCTGTGTATTCTCAGAAAATTCTAAAGTGGATAATTTAAGGTTTTTAAATTTTTCTTCTAATAATTTTTCTAATACATGTGGAGATTCAAGATTATAATCTTTTACTATAGGAGGAGGTTGTATAAAATTTTGTATTTTAATATCCTTATTTTTGTTTTCAATCAAAACCGGTTTAACTGTTTGTTGAAGATTGTTTATAAGAGAAAATAATTTGTCAACTTTATCATGTAAAGAACCAATTTGTTCTCCTAAAATTTTTACATATAAATTTGTATAATTATTTTGCTGAATAAATTTATTTACTAAAGAAACAGTAGAAGGTAAAACTTCACTTTCAACTAATTTTTGAAAAGCAGAAAAAGTTATATGAGTTGCATTTGTTAGAACAAATTTTTTTTGTGGAGGGTAAATTCCTTTTGTAATTTTTCCATCTGCAAGATGATATTCTCTTTCAAGGAGGAAAATATATTTATCAAGATAAGTGATTATAAACCACGGAACAAAATATATTATTTGATTGTGAAAAGAAGCATATTCATAAAATTCTTTTTGTATAAGTTTCTGATTTTCAATATCATAAGTAGAAAAGAACCATTTTCTGAAAAGTTTCCACTTTTCAGATTGAAATTCTTGTCTTATTATTTGTCTAATATTAGATCCTGGACTAAAATCTAATTTTTCAGTATTCGCCATGATAACCCATTTCAGAAGGTGAAGGCATATTCTTATCATAAGTCTTACTATCAGCAGACCGAACAATATTATATGGATCAATTTTTACTTGATTTATTCTATTTGTTAAATCTATTTCAGGAATCGAAGATGTCGAAAATCTATGAGAATCGACTGGATCAATATAAGATTTAAAAGATCTTTGAGAGCTAGATCTTAGTAATTTAGGAATTTTTGGTTTATCAAAAGTAATACTTATCTGACCATTATCAGATTGTTCAATTTCTGTAACATTACAACTTGTAACATTATGAGTTAATGAGTTTTTTTTTATTCCTTTATTAATTTGCCAAGACTCTGGAAATTCAATTTCTTCCCATTTAATAGTTTTACGAGTACTAATTTGAGATTTATAAAAATTAGTTTCTATTAGTATGGTTTCATCAGATGGTTTACTTATAATCTTACATCTGGGTGTTAAAGTATTTAATAATTTAAAACAAATACGGTAATGTAAACAAATAAGTTCACTTCCCGGTAAATAATTATAACCATGTAATTTTACATTTAATGTTAAAGCATCGAGTATATTAACATCAGACAATGATAGCTGTAAATTTGGATAAACATTAAAATAAACTGGACCATGAGCTAAGCTAGACTGTATTATGCCCATTAGGGATTTTTTCCAATGTAAATTTCTACCATCACGTAAGGCAGCAACAAAAGATTCAGGTAGACCTTCCAAAGTTAAAGGTTTAAATGCAATTTGCACCAATCCAATATGCATGAACTTATAATTTTTATGAGATCTATAAGATTCAATATCTGTAGCAGACAAAAGTTGTAAAACCCTTTCATCAGAATTTAAAGCAATTGATTGTTCAGTAGTTTTAACTACCTGTTTAACCAAGTATCGATCAAACACCATATTCATACAAAGTATTAGTGGGTACCTTTGGTATTGACCATTTATTAAGAAGAGCAAGCTGTTGAGGCATGTCGTATTCCTCTTGAACTGAATTTTTTATTGAAGTAGTTTCTAAATTATTCATTTTTAAATTAGGTTCTGAATCAAACAAATCTTTTGTAAACATAAAAAATACATAACCGCTCTGATACCAAATTTGGCGTGGGGCTGGGGCCTGGCCAGTGCTTATCTTAGCCGGTAAGACCAGGCAAACAGATGAGCAAGGAAACCAGGCCGGAATCCAAACCACCACTCTGGCTGATACCATTGATCCAGGAGCTATGCCATCTCCTTTAACATCAATGTTTTTAGCTGCACAAGTACCCATGGATGATTTAGCTGTTCTGTAATACTTAGGGATGAGAAAGGAAGGAGTGGGGAGAGACACATCAATCTTCATAACCTTTTCAATTTTTTTTTTCTTTGTTTCTCTAGCGATAGAGGAGTGATGCTATTGGCTCATCCCTTCGAGCATATTTACTTTGTCTCCTTTTAGTGTAAGCTCAATGCATATAACCATACCATGAATCAAGAAATAAGCAAATCCACATAAGCACACTTGTTTTTTATATTATAATTTTAAAGTCGTGATAGAAAGACCTAAATCTGCCTGCGGACATGGGAATATGGGATCTGTAGCATAAGTTCTATAATTTTCAATCTGTAAAAATACACCCTGAATTAGAGTCCAGGGAATTTTATAGTTTTTGGCGAAGGGAATTGAATGAAAATAATGTCATTTTCTTGTATGTAGAAAGCAGCTTTTTTCTTCGTTTCACGTATTTGGAGAGCTACAGGAAATTCAAAGGCACAAACTCGCGATAAAAGTAAATACGACTAAAGCATGATTGGTGTCCACAATGGAGTGTTAATATTAGAAGAGAGAGTCGAATTAAAGCATGGTGTTCGCGAGGAAATCTATACAGTTGATTACTTGGTTTCGTCAGTAGCAACCGATCTAGGAGAATGTCCACATTTAAATAATCCACCAATTGGTGTATGCATGTGTGTGTACTGTGTAGTTTGAGTTTTGTTAAAAACTTTAGCCTCTTTTATTGTTTAAAAATAAATAAATAAATAAACAAGACTAATTTATTGGCATCATGACTAAGATTAACACGGACGATGTGATTCAGAGGAGTTTTTGGGTTTACAACAAATTAAGAATAACATAAGACGTGAAGAATTTGCATTCAATAGAATGGTGGGAATTTTTGTGTTCATTTTATGACGAAAATTCAAAATATTGTGCAAAGAAAATATAAAAATCAAGGATGTAAACAAGATCCCGTTTTGCCGCACCAACATTGTCTATAAGCTTGATACTCTCTCTATTCCATAATTATTGTCCAATTCAAATTTCTATTTTTAATTCAATTTGTATCAAAAATGAAAAGTCGAACTATATAATAATTTTGAGACCGATGAAATATATAATAATAATAATATAATGTATGTAGTAATGGACTAAGGTTTTAGTAAGTGGTAAAACCAAATTTTCACGAATTAAATAGGGGGAAAAAAAGAAGAAGAGAGTTATTTATAGGCCTGTTTTCGCCGCCATTTGTCTGATGTTTTTACCCACCAACTAAAAAAAAAATATTCCTGCCATTAATATAATTAATTAATCGCCCCGCAGAAAAGATACGCAAAAAACACAGGAAAAAAGATAATCTGCGGGTTTAAGCCAAAAACATTTTTAACATAGTTCTGTACGCTCCTCGGATCAACACCCCTTTCCTCGGGACGTATCTGCCACAAATCCAGGTAAAACTACTGCATTTTCCTTCTTCCTTTCTCTTCCTTTTTTTTTTCTAATGTAAATAAAAAAATTGACTTTACAGTGTTTAGTGTCTGAACCCATTGTCGTAACATGACATCACATGCATTTTGACTTCTTTTTCTTTCCGTTTTTTGTTATCTCGTGATTTTGATTTTATAAAATGATGGTGGACTGTAAAATTAGTACAGTCTCTTGTTGTTTATTCTTGTTTAGCTTGATGATGATTTACGTTAGGCAAATAAACAGTTTTTAGTACCAACAAAGGGATGACTATGATTTATTTCTGCTTTATTTTATTTTTCACTTTTTAGTACCTACCATTTTCAGACTTTTAGTACCAACAGTTTTTTCACTTTTTATTTCTGGATGGCCTGAAAGCCACACAAAGGGAAGAAAGTATAAAAGGGCTGAATTTAATGGAACTAGTCTCACTATTTTAGATTTGTTGCTTGTTTGTTGTGGAAATGATGATTATTGCTTTTAGTTAAAAAGTTCATTTTGGTGAAATGATAGCATCATATTCAATGTTGTTGGAAAATTGTGTTCTTGTGCATTCTTCTGAATTTTCTTTAATTTTGGCCTGAGTTACAGTTGGTAATCATGGAAAGAAAAAGGAAACCTAAGCAATCTAGAACCAGGGAAAGGAAGATTCATACAGATGAAAAGATTGCGGAAATGACTACTTCCATTCTTGATATACCTGATACCGTCCTTACTGATATTGTGCTGAGGCTACCTGTTAAGGCTATCATCATGTGCAAGTGTGTTTGTAAACCTTGGCGCCGTGTCATTTCAGACCCACATTTTGCAGAGATGCATTTCGCCAGGGCGGAACCTTGTCCCTTGATTAGGGCCTCGAGTGGTTCCAAAGTTTCGAGAATGCTTTACCTGGTTGAGCATTCCGAAATTAATGTAAGCTATAATGATGAGAACTATTCGTGTCCAGAATATGAAGATGCAGTCAATTTGAAGCTAGATACAAGGTTGAAGATCCCCCTTCGCAATGTTGAAATGGTGCCGCGAAACAGCACTAATCCCAAGTCTGAGAGCGGCTTCAAAAGACGTTGTATAAAGGTGACAGCAAAAGAGCACAAGTTTCAGATTGTGAACTCATGCAATGGATTTCTGTGTCTGTCGCATCCTTTATATAACTACCCACTTGTAGTTTGTAATCCAGTTACTGGTGAGTATTTGAACATTCCAGGGACATGTGAAAGCAATGAGCGCACCGACTATGTGTGTTGCGGACTTGGGTACAGTGAGAGGAGCAACCAGTTCAAAATTTTTAGAATATCTGACGGAGAATCATTAATCGCTCCTTGTCCAATAACAGGAGAAGATGCTTGGCTTTTTGAGGTAGCTGAGGTACTCACCCTTGGCACAAGTACTTGGAGAAGAATTGGTCATGCTCCATATTGTGGAGGTGGGTATAAACTGACTTTTCTGACTTGCGTTGGTGGATCTATTTATTGGCTTAATAAGTACGCGAAGAAAGTTGATTTGATACATTCATTTGACTTCAATGAAGAGAAATTCAGAGGAATTAAACCACCTCCATTCGCAGACTTAGGGCAGCTAGATCAATCTTTGATGACTTTGGGAATGCTCGGAGGTAGATTAAGTTTGTGCACTGGCTTAATCGACATGAAAAAGATCCAAATTTGGACTTTGGAGGCAACTGGTGAATGCACTTGGAAATGTTTTAAGACAGTTAACTTGGACGTTGTTGATAGGTGGCCTCTTGGTTCATACTTGCCAATAAATTTTTGCAAAGATAAGAAGGGGCTTCTAATGTTTCAGTCACCTAAAATTGCCTTCATTTATGCTTCCTCTGAACGAGACAAGTTGAAGTATTTCAGAATTCATGCGACCAAAGCGAAATATGAAGCAGTTGCCCATAACCCAAGTTTTGTCTTGCTCAGGGATGTTATCAAAGGAGACTCTGTTGAGATATTGAACACCAATTCAAGGTATCTTTCTCCATCCCAGATTATGTCAGATTACTCTCACTCTTTTTATTATTCCTTTATTGCTTTGAGTTTAGTTGATGCTTTATGTCGAAACCCTTTTGTCTGCACTGAGGAAGAATTTAACATAGATAGCTATTGAGAAGCACAATTCAGGGATGAATTTCCATCTGTCAATGTAAATTAACTTGGTGCAACTGCATCGACTAATATTAACTACCCTTCTTTACTGGCAACTTATTAACTGTTCTTTATTTTTTTTGAGCACTATTAACTGTTTTCAATTTTCTGTATGAATAATGTGGGAACAGAATCCTAATTCTCTTGCTGCTCTAGTAACATTCTACTAGCAATTTTTCGCACTCCTGATATCAACCCTGTATTGTAAGTAATCCAACTTTTTTCTTAGGTTAAAAGTAAACTTTCATTACCACAACAAACTCAATTGGTTCTGTGCCAAAATTCCGCAAATTCTGACCTCTGATTACACTTGGATGACTATTTTCCGGAACCACTCCACTTCACTTTGCTCTAGTTTATGGCAATATTACTGGAATCTCCAACTCGGCTTTTGTTTGATCAGCCTAACCACTCATTACACCGGAATCAGCTCTTCCTCAAATATTTTCCTAGTTAGACTTTACCAGATGGGATAACTTCAGCTTCATTTTCCAGTATTTGCAAATGAACCTCAGTTTATGCCTCAACTTGGAAACTTCTATTGAAAGCTTCCTAACTTCTATCCAATGTGTGACTGTGCATATCTGCATTGTAAGAACAACTGTGACTGGGATTTACATTTTCTTGAGACTGTCTTTCATAAGCAGTCTGCCTTTGCGGCTTTGCCCACAGCAATGCAAACATTTAATTAAATTCCAATTGTCTCCTTCATTTCATCTCCCTTTCCACTTAACCACTGTATCCTGTTTTAACTATAAATATCCCATTTCTGCAGCAGCCTAGCTCCCCTGCCTTATTCAAGGTAGCATTTTTATCCCTCCTCCATATAATCTTCCAGTGCTAGCTATGTTGCTGGTTCACCAGACAGTCCCATATAGTTTTTCGTTTCTAATAAACTCCATGAACCGACCTTACAACTTACTTATCTCTTTTATAGCTACAAAGTCTCATCATTGTAACATTCTGCCTGGTTACATTTTATTGGCCACCTTTAACTGGCCATACATCAGTTCTTTTTAATATGGGGCGTTTCACTATATCCAGAGAAGAATGAAACTGATATTTCTGTTTCAATGTATGGTTTTGACATGTCCCAGGTGCTCGGAATTTAAATTGCCAGGAGAAACTAAAGCTATTTACTTGAAGGAAGAATGCCAGATGTGGGAATAGACACAGATTGCTCAAATTCCAGTTGCTTTGTCAATGAAGAATGATTCACTACAGCTTATGGGGGCACCAACCAACCTTATGAAGATATTGCATCATAGCTTCAAATTGTCTTTTGCATCATAATAAAAAAAACAACGGAGTTGGGAATCCAAAAATTTCTCTCTTCTTTTCCTAGTTTATCATCAGGAAAACTTTGTTCTGTTTCTTTTATGTGGAGGATTGGTAAGTCCATAAACATCCGGCGATTTATACGGATGGCTACTCTGTTAAATTTCTATTTTCTCCATTAGAACCCTGCTTCCTAGAATGCTTTACTTAAAACTGGTTGTTTCTAAACTTCATTTTAAGGCAATATACTCATTTCGTCTCATTTTAATCGTCTATTTGTTTTCTAATGTATTGCTAGTATCACTGTGAATATAATTGGTTGATCATCAGTATGTCATTAATTAAGCATGAAACTAGTGTCATGAGGCAACATCAATTCCTTGGCCCTTGCCTCTCCATAACAGCATTGTATGAAATCAAGAACAATAGTAGCAAGCATGTAGATCCAATCCATGACTTGTGGATTCGGGTTCAGTAACAAGAGCAACCAGTATACAGTTCTTACAATGTTTGCTCGAAAACAGGAACTCTGTTGTTGCCCTATTACAGGTAAAGAAATCTTTTCTAGCCAGATGGCTGAGGTACACGTACTTGGCACAAGTTCATGGAGATGCATTGATCATGCTCCATACTCTGGTAGGAAACTGAAATTTATGATCTATTTAAGTGGATCTGTTTACTGGACTTGCGATGAATCAAAGATGATATATTCATTTGACTTCAAGGAAGCGAAATTTAGAGCTATTGAGCCACCTCCATCTGCTGACATGTGGCCTGCTGGATGGTATATGGTGACCTTGGGAATGCTAGGAGGTAGATTAAGTTTATGTCGTACCAGTATAGGTAGTGATGAACTCCGGCTTTGGGTTTTGGGGAAAAATGGTCTTACAGCTTGGACAGAATTTAAGACCATTCATTTGGGTGGTGATGATAGTGCCTTCCTTTATTCCGGGCTTGAATTTGGACTGTGCAAGTATTTCAGAATTCATCTTGCCAAAGCAAAATTTGTGGCAGTTAACTACGTTCCTAGTTTTATCTCCCTCAAGGATGTTGTCCAGGGAGATTGTGTTGAGATATTAAACATCAATTCAGAGTAAGGTTTCCTTTGCCTCTTATTTTCTCCAAACAATTCATCTTTGTACTGTGTTCACTCATCATTAGTTGCTTTTTTGAGTTTGATACTTTATATGGGACCTTTTCTTCTATTAAGTGAGCATTGTCTTAATAAGAGAGATTATTTGTCTGGTGAAAGCCAAATAACTAATACATCATATTGCATATTCATGTCTGGTTATCACACCCTACAAATTTTTAGCAGCGCAAGAGCTTGAGGAAATTCATTTGTTCGCTGGCATATAACGTTACATGAATAGCTACAGTGAAGCACTTGGAGGAATTTCGGAGTTTCTCTATATCATCTACTTGCTTTTGACTGCACAAATATATAGATACAAGGGTATGAATGAAGCTTAATCTGCTCATGAGATTATGGGATGGCTTTTTAAATTCATAGAAGTGAGAGGGCAGGGAGGGAGATGGGAAGAGAGACCTTAGTCAGGCAAACTTATTCATTTTTTTCTGCGCTAGTGATGGAGAACGATGCTGATGGCTCATTCCATCGGGCCATAATTTATTTGTGTGAAATGAATGCAAATAAAGGTGTACAGTTGACAGCAAGTGCTGTAGTTAGAAAAACTTTCTGATTTAACTTAATGTATGTTGTGATGGTATCTCTATCGTGCTCATTGACGTGGGATTCATGGCATTCTGCTATGTTTAGCATATTTCATTTACCAAGCATGTAATCATTTTGCCAGCCCTGAAGTCCACCTGGTTTCAGTTTGGTTGCTTCATTTTCGTGTCTCTGTAGCCATTCTTATCTGGTCACGCATCCGTTAACTCTAGACTTACAAATCAGAGAAGTTATACATCTGATTTCTATTTAAAAGGGCGTTCGGACTTCAAATTACCGGGAGAAACCAAGCCTATTTTCTTAGTGCAAGAAATCCATGACATGGAAATTGACACAGAGATAAAGACTGAAGAATGATGCTATACAGCTGATTGGCGCCAACGTCCTCGTGTACACCTTTTAGTTGGCTGTCTCGGAATTTCTCTTCTATTTTGTTTTGCTACTGTGAAGATCCATTTGGTAATGAATCTTCGTGAGTTTCTCTATGCCATTCGCTCGATCTCTTTAACATCAATGTTTTTAGCAGCTCAACTACCCATGGATGATTTAGCTGTTCTGTAATGCTCAGGGATGAGAGGGGAAGATTTGGGGAGACATCAATCTTCGTAATCTTTTCTTCCTTTTTTTTTCCCTGTAGCGATAGAGGAGTGATGCTGTTGGCTCATTTCTTCAAGCATATTTACTTTGTCTCCTTTAGTGTAACGCACTACGCATATAACCATAGCATGAATCAAACAACAGAATCAAGCACACTTGTTTTCTTATATTATAATAGTAAAAATGGCTAAATCTGCCTGCGGTCAAGGGAATATGGGATCTGTAGCCTAAGTTCTATAATTTCCCATTGGTTAAAATGCACTTCAGGGAATTTTTTCTTATAGATTTCGGTAAAGGGAACTGAAGGAAAATAATGGCATTTTCTTGTAGATGGAAAGCAGCTTTTTTCGTTGAGAGCTACAAGAATTTTTTTTCTTCTTTTGCCTTATGGATTTCAGCTTGGTTGACAACTTGAAAATATGAACCTGTTGATTTTTGTCAGAAGCAAACATTCATGTACAGAGAAGGAAATCTTTTTCCAACATTGTGCAGACCAAAATTGGTTGAGCATTATTATTGCTCAATGAAGAAGATGAAATGATCAGCAGCATAGGTTCTTTGGATGCAAATTCTGAGAATCAAGGGTTTGATGATGATGTTTATGGAGTATTCAAATTACTAAAACCAGGTCCAAGAGTTTTGAACTGATTGAAGTATTGATAAAAGCAGAGTGTGGAAGAGAAGAGAAAAAAACAGGTGTCGACTTGAGGAAGATGGCTATGATTTGTGGCGGCAGAGGTGGATCAGGTGGACGGCCCTTGGAGTCCGGCATGTTTGCGCCAAGTATAAACTCCCAAGGTTCTCCTGTAGTAACTATCGAGCTAAGTTTGGAAGGCAACTCCTTTGATGATCTAACAAGTTTGATACCACCAAGAAGCAGGAGGTTCGAAAAAGATATCTGATATTAAAGTGATCCGGTTTGATAAAGCAACTGATGGGGACAAATGGTCGAAGAGTACTAAATTTTATACTAGGAGAGGTTCCAAAGCTCAAACTCTTATATGGAATAATCTTGATGAGCATGAGCCTTCCTGGGAGCTTGAATAAGCTGCTGGAAGTATTTAAGTTCTTTTTATATTTATTTTTCAGTATTTTAGTATAAGGGTATTTCAGTATTTTGCATTGTTGTAGGATTTTCTGGTTTTACGAAATTAGTTTAAGTATTTGTTTCCTATTTAGTTTCTAAGTGTTATTAGGTAATAAGGGAGAAGATTCTGGACTTCCCAAATCAGACTCCTAATAGGTTTTGGTTTAAGTCTTTTTATGCCTATAAATAAGGTTGTATCCCTTCAGGGATTTTTAGACGTTGATTAATAAAATTCCTGCAACAAGTTTTGCTTTGCAAAAGTTGAGTGATTCAGCTTTAAATCCTGAGGTGTGACGCCAAAGGTGACTAAGAGTGATTCTTAGTTGGTTACCCTTTAATTTTCCGCTGCAATACTACTTCTTTAAGCTATCTTTTTTGAGATTTTCTTAAATTTCCCTGCTGGGTACTTGAGGTTTCTTAACCTACGATTTGTGTTTTAAACACCCACGTTCGTGCTGCGGGATAAGTTTTCATGGTTTAGCCACGTTTTATCGGAGGTTTATCAAAGGTTTCAGTACCATTATGGCACCAATAACCAACTGCCTGAAGAAGGATGGTTTTCAGTGGGATAAGTTTACTCAAAAGGCTTTTGAAGAGATAAAGAGCAAGATGACCGAAGCACCCGTGCTCAAGTTACCTGATTTCTCTAAAGTTTTTGAGGTAGCTTGTGATGCTTCAAATGTCGGCATTGGAGGAGTTCTCAGCCAAGAAGGGCATCCTGTAGCATATTTCAGCGAAAAACTGAATGATGCTAAGCAGAAGTATTCTACATACGACAAGGAGTTCTATGCTGTTATTTAGTCACTTCGTCATTGGCATCATTACCTTATTTATAAGGAATTTGTGCTATATTCAGATCATAAGGCCTTAAAATACATTAATTCACAAAAGAAGTTGAGTCACCGACATGGAAAGTGGGTTTCTTTCCTACAGCAGTATAATTTTGTGATTAAACATAAGGCTGGGACTGAGAATAAGGTGGTTGATGCTCTTAGTCGTGTGCATCATGTTCTTACTTCTATGGTTGTGCAAGTGATTGGTTTTGAGTCCCTGAAGCAAGACTATCCTAGTTGCAAAGATTTTCAGATTATATATGCAGATATAAAGGCTGGACAGCAAGCGGGTTATCCTGATTTTTCAATACATGATGGGTATTTGTCAAGGGAACACGTCTCTGTTTGCTTTGCCTAATACCTCTCTCCGGGAGGAACTGATTCGTGAGCTGCATGGAGGGGGTGTTGCTGGACATTTTGGTAGAGATAAAACCATTGCCTTGGTGGAGGATAGGTTTTATTGGCCAAGTTTGAAGAGAGATGTGGGTAGAACTGTTGCTAGGTGTAGAACATGTCAATTGGGTAAAGGGCAGAAACAAAATATTGGTTTATATACACCATTGCTAGTCCCACATGCACCTTGGCAAGATGTGAGTATGGATTTTGTCCTAGGGCTGCCAAAGACATTACGGAGTTTCGAATTAGTTTTTGTGGTTGTGGACAGATTTTCAAAAATAGCTCATTTTCTTCCATGTGCAAAGACATCAGATGCTACACATATAGCTAGACTTTTCTTCAAAGAAGTTGTCCGACTACATGGGTTGCCTAAAACTATAGTTTCAGACCGAGATGTGAAATTCATGAGTTATTTTTGGTGAACTCTATGGAAGATGCTGCGAACTGATCTTAAGTTTTCTTCTGCTTTCCATCCCCAAATAGATGGTCAAACAGAGTTTGTTAATCGCAGCCTTGGAATCTTCTTAGGTGTTTGGTAGGAGATCATACATCTAGTTGGGATCAAGTGTTACCCATGGCTGAATTTGCTTACAACAGTTCAGTCAACAAGTCTACTGGTTACAGTCCTTTTGAGATTGTCGTTGGTGCTAATCCTTGGAAACCTATAGATCTAGCGGCACTGCCCTCAAGTGCACGTCCTAGTGCAGAAGCTGAAGCTTTTTCTAGGCATCTTTGGAGATTCATGATGAAGTTCGGCGCAAAATAACTATCAACAATGAACAATACAAGTCCCATGCTGATTTGAAAAAGAGATTTGCTGAATTTGAAGAGGGAGATGAAGTTTTGGTGAGAATACGTCCTGAGAGGTACCCGCCTGGATCTTACAAGAAGCTTCATTCGCGCAAGGCTGGGCCTTACAAGATTCTCAAGAAGATTAGTTCTAATGCCTATGTTCTTGATCTACCTGATGATTATGGCATTAGCAATGTTTTTAATATTGGGGATTTGACGCGCTATTTTGGTCATGATGAGGTTTCTACGGATACATTACCCGTAGTTTCTCTACCACCTATTCCACAAGCTCGAGACAAAATTCATGATGTTTTGAATACCCAAATTGTGTCTACTAGAGCTGGGGGTTATCAAAAATTTCTCGTTCATTGGGAAGGGCGACCAAGGTCAGATTGTACTTAGATCACTGAATCTGAATTTCAGCAGCTGGATCCCGACTTTTATGAGCGATATTAAGCTTTTAACTCGTCGGAGTCGAGTTCTTTCAAGCCGGGGAGAAATGATGGGGACAAATGGTCGAAGAGTACTAAATTTTATACTAGGAGAGGTTCCAAAGCTCAAACTCTTATATGGAATAATCTTGATGAGCATGACCCTTCCTGGGAGCTTAAATAAGCTGCTGGAAGTATTTAAGTTCTTTTTATATTTATTTTTCAGTATTTTAGTATAAGGGTATTTCAGTATTTTGCATTGTTGCAGGATTTTCTGGTTTTAGGAAATTAGTTTAAGTATTTGTTTCCTATTTGGTTTCTAAGTGTTATTAGGTAATAAGGGAGAAGATTCTGGACTTCCCAAATCAGACTCCTAATAGGTTTTGGTTTAAGTCTTTTTATGCCTATAAATAAGGTTGTATCCCTTCAGGGATTTTTAGACGTTGATTAATAAAATTCCTGCAATAAGCTTTTCTTTGCAAAAGTTGAGTGATTCAGCTTTAAATCCTGAGGTGTGACGCCAAAGGTGACTAAGAGTGATTCTTAGTTGGTTACCCTTTAATTTTCCGCTGCAATACTACTTCTTTAAGCTATCTTTTCTGAGATTTTCTTAAATTTTCCTGCTGGGTATTTAAGGTTTCTTAACCTACGATCTGTGTTTTAAATACCCACGTTCGTGCTGTATCAACAACAGGGGAAAGGATAGATGGGGATGAAAACGTAGCTAATATTGTTGATGATGATGATTATATTGTTGTGGAGATCTTGGAGGAGGAGGAATACAGCCAGCTGCTTGATTAATATGATGATTCTATGCCTTTGTTTTATTTTAAACACTTGTCCTTTTAAACACTTGTCCTAAAATACACGGGAGAAGGCATGTAGTTATACGCGGCTTTGCCCACACAAGTTTCTGGAGATAAACTGAACTTTCTGACCTATGTGTTTGGTAGATCTGTTTGCTGAATTCATATTTACACGAAAAGAAGCTGAATTGATATATTTAATGGATTCAAGTTTACTGTTCTTAAATGTAGGGTTGTTCTTTTACATAAAACCGACTTGAACCGAACCGAACTCGAATCGAACCGTTAGTTTGGATCAGTTCGGAATTGAAGCAACTTTCTTTTGGATTACTATGGCTCAGTTTAGATCGGTTCGGGTTAAATTTTGGATCTGAACCGAATTGACCCGAAAAAAACCATTTTGTATCCGATGATGTCATCAAAATATTACGATGACATCATCTTGTCGGCGCCGGTCACCGGTCACCGAAAAAATCGATCTTTCGGCAATATCGCCGGAATTTTTGGCCGAAAAAATTAATTTGCCGACGACATTGCCGGAATTTTTGGCCAAAAGTTGTTGCCGGCGGCGGTCGACGGTCAACGTCGGAAACTATTGAAATTTATTATTATTATTTTGTGTTTAGATTAATTCGGTTTACTTTGGATATTTACTTAACTCGAACCGATCCGAACCATTCCACTCTTTCAAATAATTGATCCGAACAGAATCGAAACTAAATTTTCGGATCTGTTTCAGGTCGATTCGGTTCGGATCATCGATTCGACCTAAACCGTGGGTCAGAATGACCATCCCTACTTAAATGAATGAAAGAAAAAAAATGGCCTCATGTTCCCTTGTCCCACACGGATAAAGGAAACATTTGAACTCAACATGTATACCTTATATGTTACTTCTCTCATCACCAATTGGTTTTGAAGTGAAACAACATGTGAACCTATATTTAGGGTTTCAAGATGGTATCCGAGCGGATTTTAATCTGTAGACCTGTGAGACTTGTGGGGCGAGATAGACTGACCCAGATTGGGTCTTGAAACTTTGACCAACCCACGGAAGAAAATTCGATTTTGACTTTAAACTTTATCTGGCCCGACTGGCGACAGTTTATCTAGGAAAATAACCGATTACAAAACTGAAAAAAATACATAAAATTATCCGTCCAAACCCATTGGGCTTGAGAGGGGCATGTTAAATGAATGAAAGAAAGAAAATGATCTTATGTTCCCTTGTCCCACATAGATGGAAGGAAACATTTGAACCTAACATATATACCCTATGTGTTATTCCCCTCATCACCAATTAGTTTTGAGGTAGAATCACATGTAGGCCTATATTTGGGTTTTCAAAAACTGTTTATTTTCTTTTTTTAGTGTGTATTTTTAGATTTTTTTTTATTGAAAATATATAAAGGTATGCTGAGATGGGACGACGTAGTAAAATTACAAACAAACAGAGTGCGTGCACTGGCAAGAGGTCCGTATTTGGATATTTAAATGGTCACAACTTGTAAATGGTGTTGATTTCTTACGAAAGAGTCTTTCATCTTTTGATAAATCATAAAATGATAATCAGTTTCAACTTTGAAGCCCCCAAAAAAATAAATAAATGATTTCAACACCAAAGGCAAACTTGAGGGATAAGATAATTTCCCTAGAGTGTTTATCAACGTAGAAAAAAAAACGCCGTGATTTTTATTTTTCCCTTTCCCGCCATTTGAGTAATCTTTTCAGCCCGCCAAACCGTTCCCGCCATGCTCACGTTTGCGCGGTAAAAAAGTAATTAAGATAACAAAACAAAACAAAAATCAGAGAAGAAGAAGAAGAAAAAAGCTTACAGGCTTACAAGTTAAAATATTGCCACCATTTCCTTATACATTCCTCGGACCAAGATTCTCCTTTCTCTCAGAAAGAGATATCTGTCACACATCCAGGTAATCAAAATGCGATTCATTTCTTATTTGATTTACATTATGCTTTTAAGGATATATATATATATATATATATATGTATGTATGTATGTATGTATGTATGTATGTATGTATTTGAACTCCCTTGTCATCCTTAAAGTAAACATTCACCGAACTGAATGTAGGAACATCTTTTGTAAAACTCTAATCCGACATGTTTCCTTTTTCCCATTTGTTAATTCCATGATTTCATTTCTGTGATTTGTGTATGAAATATAAACCTGCGGCGTTTCTGGGTGGGGTGATTCTTGTCCAAGTTGATCATGATTATGTAGGATTACAAAAACAAATAGTCTCAGTGAAAAATTAGATCTTGTTGAGATTCTGTTCCTCGAGGTTTTTTCCAAACATGAATGTAGTAAGGCCCTTGAATTTTCTCTGTGTTAGCATATCTTTCCAGTATTGTCTGCCACCTGGCCAAAATTCACTCCCAAAAACGACTGTGCATCTGGTAATTTTTCTCAGGCATTCCACTCCCTTTTGGCATTAAGAGTTGCAGTTTGGAAGTCATGAAGAGAAAAAGGGACTCTAAGCCGTGCAGAACCAAGAAACAGATCCCACAAGCAGACGAGAAGATTGAGCAAATGGGTACTTCTATACTGGATGTGCCTGATTCCGTCCTCATAGACATTGTGCTAAGGCTACCTATTAAGGCCGTCATCATGTGCAAATGTGTTTGTAAACCTTGGCGACGCGTAATTTCAGACCGCCATTTCGCAAAGAGGCATTTCGCCAAGGCAGAGCCGTGTCCTTTGATTAGGACCATTGGTGGCTCGAGAGTTTCGAGAATGCTATACCTGATCGAGCCATCTGAAATTAATGTGAACTATGATGTTGATAGTGATGATGAATATTCATCGCCTGATTGCGGAGTCAATTTGAAGTTAGACACTAAGTTGAAGATCCCTCTCCGCAATGTTGAACTGGTGACCCAGAACAACACTGATCCCAAGTTTAATAGCCGTGCTGGTAAGGGTGGCTTAAAAAAACGTTGTGTGAAGGTGACCACAAAAGAGCAGAAGTTTCAGATTGTGAATTCATGCAATGGATTTCTTTGCCTGTGTGATCCTGTTCGTAACAACCCTCTTGTAGTTTGCAATCCAATTACTGGTGAGTACTTAAAACTTCCAAAGACAGAGGAATCCAATGAGAGTGTCAAAGATATGGTCTGTGGATTAGGATTTAGTAATATTAGCAACCAGTATAAGGTTCTTAGAATCTTTGATGGAAGAGGGAAACGGAAACAGGAATGGGAACGCTGTCGTTGCCCGATTACAGGTAAACAATTCTATTCTAGCCAGGGGGCTGAGGTACACACAGTGGGCACGGGCTCATGGAGAGCCATTGGGCAGGTTCCATTGTCAATATGGACAGAGAAAAAACTGATATCTGTGACCTCGGTGGATCTCTATATTGGATTGTTGATGAACTCGGAAAACCAGAGGTGGTACATTCATTTGACTTCGGCAAAGAGAAATTTGGAGCTCTGAAGCTGCCTCCATATACCTCCAGTTGGGGATGGAGTGATCAATCTAAGATGACCTTGGGAATGCTAGGAGGTAGATTAACTCTGTGCCACGGTATAATCAACATGGAAGAGGTCAAGATATGGTTGTTGGAGAAAAATGGTGGACTTGCTACATGGAAAATTTTCAAGACAATTGACTTGAGTTATGATGATAGATGGCCCCTTGGTTCATACTGGCCAATAAATTTTCGAAAAGATAAAGGACTTCTGATGTTTCAGTCCCCTAAAAGTGCCTTCTTTTATTATGAGCCCAAATTCGGTTCGTGGAAGTATTTCAGAATTTATCATGTCAAAGCCAAATATGAATCAGTTTCTCACATTCCTAGTTTTGTCATGCTCAAGGATGTTGTAAAGGGAGATTGTGTTGAGATATTGAACGTCAATTCAAAGTAAGGTTTTCTTTGCCTCTCTTATATTGTCGTAACAAAATCGTTGATCGAACTGTCTTTGCTCATCATTATTTGACTCACTGTAATTCTGTGATGGTATCGACATCCTGCTTGTTGATTGCTTCATCTTTCTGTGATTCTGTCTTTGTGGCCGCCTTTAGTTATAGACTTTTAAAATCTTAGAAGAATACGTCTGATAAATTGAATTGACTTAGGTGTTTGGAGTTTAAGTTACCAGGAGAAACCAAGCCTATTTTCTTAGTGCAAGAAATCCGTGACTTGGAAATTGATACAGATGCCTCAGGTTACAGCGACGACGAAGATGAAGATGCAGAATGATGCAAAAAATGCAATTGATGGGCACCAACTTTCTCTTTTGATGCAAAGCACTTCCATGTATTTTGTTCATTTTGTACACCATGCAGTTGGGTGTCTCTGAATGTCTTTTATCTGTTTTGGTTCTACACAACCATCAGGTGGCTGAGATCCCTTTACTACCATGTATAACTGTCAGTGGGCTGAAGCCCTGAAACAACTATTCTGTTTAGGATTTCTTCCAGAAAAGCTAAAAACCCCTCCTTGAACAGGTATCCTAATTCCTAAGAATTTTAGCAGTCGAGACTTCTATTGAAAAACAATCTTCCTGTTCCATCTCCAGTATTTAGTTTGAAAGCTGTAGAATGGTTGGTTGAATGCTTTGAAGTTCAAACATTTCCATTATATCACATGAAGAATCTATCTTTTTCTTTTGAGAAAGACATCTGTCATAGTTTTACGTTTAAAAAAAAAAAACTACATTCATCATTTCTCTTTTCCGGATCGGGTGATATCTCGTACCCCGGTTTCAACTTATATTTGTGATTCCACCAAAAACCATCTGATGCTTACGTAAATTTGCAAGAAGTCTTATGTTTAGCCAAACTCATCCAAGATGTTGCCCTGTTAAATTTATATTTCTTCCATAATAACCCTGCCTCCTAGAATGATTCATCACTAATAAATTGTATTACATAATTTAAACTGTCTTTTTTTTTTGCCCTTTTATCGTCATCATTTTAATTGTCCACTTTGCCGTGCACTGTCATTAGATATATTTTCTGAAGTTTGTCCTAAATTTCGTTCTTATGATTTTTTTAACAAAAAAATAAAATTTTAAAAATACTTTATAATAATTGGAAGAACACAGTAAATGTGAAAATATGTTTTTAAAATTTTATTTTTAATTAGAATAACATATGAAATAAAATTTAGAACAAATCAAAATGAATTATAATAAAGACGGGACAGAAAATCCCTTTTACCCTATTAAAGCAGAATACAGGATGTTGATGTGGCAATTTTTTATTAAAAATTTTTGGCTCCAAATACACCATATTGCGTTAACCATTCTGCCACGTGTCATCCCTTTTTAAAAGAAAACAAAATTCTTATCCGCAGAAATAAAAGTTACTTTACAAAAATAACTACACAATTTTAACTGCTAACATTTATCATTTATCAATCAAATTAAAATAGTATTTAAATTTGCCCATAAACGTATCCCCTTTATTACTCCACGTTCTTTTGTATGATTTCTGAATCGTTGTACTTTTCAATATTTTTTCTCCTTTGGCAGATGATTTTTTTATTTTTATTTTTATTTTTGGCTAAAAAGGGGAAAAACCAAATGTGTAGCTATTTTATTTTTCCAAATCAAGATTTCATTTATCTATTAACACAAAATTAAAGTAGAAGGGCGCCCGGACATCTGCCCGGGCCAAGCATCTAGTTGTATATTCAAGCAAAACTTTGAGATTTACTCGACCAAGTTATTTCGAATTCCTATTTGAAGCAGAAGAAATGTGACATGTATTGGAAAATATATTTTTTTTTCATTGTCAAAACATAAAATTATTATCATAAAAGACAATTTACAGCAAACACCAAATTAATCGATCATTTTTTGGGAGAATCGATAATTTACACAAACGTTGACAAGAGTATCGACGAGAAGTTCCAAATTTATTACAAAGATTTCATAATTACACTGAACACAAAGGGCCTCCCACCGCATAAATTAGTACTCAAATCCAATTGTTGAGAGATACTCCTAAGAAATCTAAACTTGACTAAAGGATTGTATAATAGAACACGATTGATATAAGCACGCAATCAAGGGCGAGATCGCTTTCGACCACATTCAAAGAAGATAGTAAAATATGGGATTCAAAGGATATCTCAAATGCTACATACAATTTCTAATAAAATTTTATTTCGCAATGACCATCAGTAAATCACATAGACAAACACTGGAATATGTTGGCTTGTATTTGCGAGAGCCAGTATTCTCATACGTACAACTGTATGTGGCACTATCATGAGTAAAGACGTCCAAGTCGCTCAAGATTCTATTTATAACAACGACATTAGATGATGTGATCGAAGATCCCAAAACCCAAAATATTTTCTACCATGAGATATTCGATTTCGTCACCACATAAAATGCATATCTAGATTTCACATTTATTTCAACAGTTGTAATCTTTCTGTATCTAATATTCCCATGCATTGATTATTATTTTCTATCTTCCGTATAATCATCAACAACGAATTTTTCCAAATAATGATGAATGAAACCCCCTTGCCACTGATAGCAAATTAAATAAACCCGATTATTTATAAGGTGCGTCGCGCATCACGCAACGAATGCTCAAACACTAGTTTAGTATTAAACGTTCTATGAATGATATTATGGAGTCAGATCAATGTTTCACCTAGAAATGCTTGCCTTGGAAAAAAATCGTGGATGAACGTCGTTAATGTGCTAATCAGAGAGGTTTGGAAGTCAAGAGACTTCTCCGAATGCTCTATAATGCCTGTCGCTCTTTCCATCCCAAAAAGATTGTTTTGTAATGGAATTTTTTGATTTTTTAGTTTCCGGTATTTTGTTTGCAAGCTGCTTCGGAATGTCTGTTTGAATGATTATCCAATGAGACCGAACAATGATCATTAATTCATAATCATCAAATAATCATTTACAATGTCAACCAATTTACAAGATTTTGATGCAACAGCAGCGGAAACACTTTCACTTGTCTCATCAGATTTAACAGGACAAAGCATATGAACAATCTTCATTCACGACCATCATATTCATTTACAGGCTGTAAGCGGATCTAACTAAGTCTGGCTTCGACTGCTTTCGAACTGTGATAGCACAAGGGTTCTTATAGAAAGCAACTTGCTGCCGAAAGTAAAGCAATCTGCCTGGGGAGATAAGCTTATCAGGCTGTTAAAAGAAAAGGCGGGATTCCCGGTTACTGCAAAAATGACTCCCATCTGTTGGCTTTTTAAGCCTCAACAGCTTGAAATAGGCAGTTACGCTCCTTGGCTACACAATATCCAAAAATCTATCCATTTCCAGCTTCATTCGCCAGGTAACATGCAATTTAACACCTCGAGCCTTGATAATGCCACATTGCTAGGTCAAGGTCCAATGATGAATCTACCTTTACATGGTCATCTAGTCACCAACCAGCCTGGTTTATGCGAGATATCCTACTTGAAATTACGTCCTGTGACAGATGTTGACTCACCTTGGCGATGGAAACACTGCAAAGAAGTATAATTTAACTGGGCACGATAACTGATAGCAATAAAATTATGATAGCAATAAAATCTTGAAAAATGTAGTTGAACCAAAAAAACTAAAATAATTGAGATAACTGCAATTAAAAAATTTTATCCTATTGATCCCCTAGTTAGACTAATCATGCACATTCAACGTGTCACTATCAATATGCATAATCTGCTAATGTGCAACTTAGTGCCAAATGTTTAAAATGATAACGCACAACATAAAAATTTTGGTAGCAGTAGGAAGAAAATACTTGATTAAATTGTCAGATTAATCAAGTATCTACTCTCATAAAAATAAATCAAAATCAACAAGTACTTGAATTAAAAGTAGAAAGAATAAAATGAAACTTGTAGTCTCACATATAATATAAATGAATAAAATCCTTGAACCAAAATAAAGAAAATTAGCCACTCATGGTGACTAGAAACATCTTAAAATGTTTGAAGAAAATTAAAAAAAAAAAACTAAAAAGAAAATGGTGGCCAAAATGGGGGAAGGAAGTAGCAGCTTAGTGCTTGCTACGGTGGTGGGGGTGTTTTTATCAATTGAGGAGGCCACTATTTATAGTGCATAATGGCCGAACAAAAATCCCAAAAAAATGGGAGTAAAATACAAATCAAATATCATCTTAGTTTTCTACTAAATCGGTTTTTTTTTGCATGATTTTCTACAACCGAATATGAGATCAAGATTTGGATGGTTGACTTAGTAAAAAGAATCTTCTAGGAACCCATTTGTGTGTATTCTTTGCAGCTGGAATTTTTTTCATCTTTTAACTCCATAAAACTTTGTAAAAGAGCCGTAAAGATCCAAAATGGTCCATCTTTTCACTTTTTGGTACCTAACAACAAAGTCATAACAAAATCCATTAATAATCACTAAAATATAATCAATTTTGGACTAGAAGATTATAATAAAATGAATTTTTATTATAATTATCACCAGTTACTGGTGAAAGAATGAATTATAGAAAGATGGCTGAAGTACACACACCTAGCACTGGTTCTTGGAGAAGCATCGACTAGGCTCCCAAATGTGGACATGAAATAAACTTTGCGACTTATGCGAGTGGATCTTTATATTGGATCCCTCGTGAATATTGGAAGGTTCGGTGGATATTCTCAAGCCACCTTCATATAACAACATGTCATTGGATCCCTCGGCTTCTTTGAGGCTTGCTTTTCACTTTCAGCATTGTCGGTTGCTGCAGAATTATCTTATGAAAAATATTGGTGTTACCCGTGGCAGCCCTTCACTTCATGGGCTCTGGCTATTGCTCCATCTGAGCCCAATAACATTTTCATTCTTTTGCAGAAATTGAGATAGAAACATCGCTACTTACGTAAGAAGCTTATGCTTTTATAAATTACATTATATGTGGAAGAGACGTCATTTTTATGTTTTGTCTCCCTCGTTTTTAATATTTTACAATTTCTTGTTTGCCTCAAATAAAATTTTTTCAAATGTGTCTGAGATATGATTTGTTTTTGAAGTTCCTTGAACGAAAAGAGTTAAGAGCAAATTTTGGGATTTGTTTTTGAAGTTCCTCGAACTAAAAATGTGAATAGCAAATTTTAGAATTTGTTTATGAAGTTAGTTATAATTAATTAAGTTGCTCAAAAGTAGAAATAGTAAGCGCCCAAATTTGTCTTCTCATTTTTCTGATTACTATTAGGCCATTTGACCAAAACTCAAACAATAACAAAACAGCAACATCGAAAAGACTTCAAATCTAAAACTCAATTCAAATAGAGACCAGTACAATTTCGAAAATGATGATGAGGAATGTATTTTCACATTTTCATTTCTCCTAAATTTCGTTCTTATGATTTTTTTAACAAAAAAATAAAATTTTAAAAATACTTTATAATAATTAGAAGAACACATTAAATGTGAAAATATGTTTTCAAAATTTTATTTTTAACATACGAAATAAAATTTAGAACAAATCAAAATGAATTATAATAAAGACTGGACAGAAAATTGTATATTAAAACAAAACTTTGAGATTTACTCGACCAAGTTATTTCGAAATCCTATTTGAAGCAGAAGAAACGTGACATGTATTGGAAAATATATTTTTTTTCATTGTCAAAACATAAAATTATTATCATAAAAGACAATTTACAGCAAACACCAAATTAATCGATCATTTTTTGGGAGAATCGATAATTTACACAAACGTTGACAAGAGTATCGACGAGAAGTTCCAAATTTATTACAAAGATTTCATAATTACACTGAACACAAAAGGCCTCCCACCGCATAAATTAGTACTCAAATCCGATTGTTGAGTGATACTCCTAAGAAATCTAAACTTGACTAAAGGATTGTATAATAGAACACGATTGATATAAGCACGCAATCAAGGGCGAGATCGCTTTCGACCACATTCAAAGAAGATAGTAAAATATGGGATTCAAAGGATATCTCAAATGCTACATACAATTTCTAATAAAATTTTATTTCGCAATGACCATCAGTAAATCACATAAATAAACACTGGAGTATGTTGGCTTGTATTTGCAAGAGCCAGTATTTTCATACGTACAACTGTATGTGGCACTATCATGAGTAAAGACGTCCAAGTCGCTCAAGATTCTATTTATAACAACGACATTAGATGATGATGTGATCGAAGATCCAAAACCCAAAATATTGTCTACCATGAGATATTCGATTTCGCCACCACATAAAATGCATATCTAGATTTCACATTTATTTCAACAGTTGTAATCTTTCTGCATCTAATATTCCCATGCATTGATTATTATTTTCTATCTTCCGTATAATCATCAACAACGAATTTTTCCAAATAATGATGAATGAAACCCGTTTGCCACCGATAACAAATTAAACAAACCTGATTATTTATAGGGTGCGTCGCGCATCACGCAACGAATGCTCAAACACTAGTTTAGTATTAAACGTTCTATGAATGATACTATGTAGTCAGATCAATGTTTCACCTAGAAATGCTTGCCTTGGAAAAAAATCGTGGATGAACGTCGTTAATGTGCTAATCAGAGAGGTTTGGAAGTCTAGAGACTTCTCCGAATGCTCTATAATGCATGTCGCTCTTTCCATCCCAAAAAGATTGTTTTGTAATGGAATTTTTTGATTTTTTAGTTTCCGGTATTTTGTTTGCAAGCTGCTTCGGAATGTCTGTTTGAATGATTATCCAATGAGACCGAACAATGATCATTAATTCATAATCATCAAATAATCATTTACAATGTCAACCAATTTACAAGATTTTGATGCAACAGCAGCGGAAACACTTTCACTTGTCTCATCAGATTTAACAGGACAAAGCATATGAACAATCTTCATTCACGACCATCATATTCATTTACAGGCTGTAAGTGGATCTAACTAAGTCTGGCTTCCACTGCTTTCGAACTGTGATAGCACAAGGGTTCTTATAGAAAGCAACTTGCTGCCGAAAGTAAAGCAATCTGCCTGGGGAGATAAGCTTATCAGGCTGTTAAAAGAAAAGGCGGGATTCCCGGTTACTGCAAAAATGACTCCCATCTGTTGGCTTTTTAAGCCTCAACAGCTTGAAATAGGCAGTTACGCTCCTTGGCTACACAATATCCAAAAATCTATCCATTTCCAGCTTCATTCGCCAGGTAACATGCAATTTAACACCTCGAGCCTTGATAATGCCACATTGCTAGGTCAAGGTCCAATGATGAATCTACCTTTACATGGTCATCTAGTCACCAACCAGCCTGGTTTATGCGATATATCCTGCTTGAAATTACGTCCTGTGACAGATGTTGACTCACCTTGGCGACGGAAACACTGCAAAGAAGTATACCAGATGAGTGATGTTCCATTCAACTGATTTGAACTATAGTCAATATGTCAAATACAGAAAATTTGCCATGAGGCCCGTTATGTGATTAGCTAATGGCAAACTTGAACGATAATATCAACTGCATTATTTTCTAATTTCATTTCTTTTCTGTGAAGTAGAAATTCATTTCAATGAGTGCTTCAGTCGAACCACACTGAGCATCACCAAGACACCAGAAACTAGATAGCTACTAATTTCGAATTTGCTGTCAGAAAACTAATGCAAATACAGTATAGAAGTAACCAGAACTTAAAAAGCTAATGGGAGAGGAAGTATCAGACCTTATAACAGACAATGGTATCATCAGGATAAACTGCAAATAATTTAGTTCCAAGCCGAGCATGACAAGAATCACAGACACTCTCATCATTGATCAACACATGCCGTGATCTTTCCTCCATTCTTGCCAAGCTTGCATCAACATCCAAAGCACGGGAAAGACTGTGAACGATCTAGGAAGAATAAAGGAGCAATATACCTTGAGTGGATAGCAGAAAGCTATTTCACAATACAGAGAGAAAGAATTCTGCACTACTCTAATACACTACACAAGCAAACATCCGCAAGCCATCTGATCAACTTGTCAGTATAAACAAGCAGATCATTAACGTTTGCATAAAAAACGTGTATAAAAATGGACCACAACCAATAAAAAACAAATCAGATACCAAGATAAAAATGAAAAGAACTTCTCATCACAAACAAGATCGATGGTGGATTGTGAATCACCATCATAGTTTATGTCAAGTAACTTCCCTCTGAAACACATGCAAAATTAACCAGAGATGTCTATCAAGCACTACAATGGCCTTTGTGAACTGAGAAGCAAATTATATTTCACCTTTTTGAAGTTAACTATCTGTATTACATTTCCCGAAAGCAATTGTAATGTTCTCCAAAGACTCATTTAGCATTCCAAAACACAGGAAACAAACGAAATTTTCTCATTATTCAGGAAATGCAGACAAAAAAAGTATTAATAGAAGCTACTTTTCCCCTTCGGCAGCCAGACTCTACTTACTTGTCCTTGCAGATGATGGTGATGCCGAGCCCTCAGCATTCTCAAAATAGTCTCTGAGGCAAGCTGCAAGGGCATGTCAGGGGACAATCTCTGCAAACAAAACATAAGTTCAGTATAAGAAATAGCATAAGGCTATAATCAAATTGAATGCAAGCTGTACATCCTATATGTGGCACCAGAACATATGCTGGAATTTACATCTATAATCTAATTTTTGCAATTTACGTTGAAAGCATTTGTAGAGAATGGATGGACACATCAATACGATACAGGACGAGACTATCACATTGATTGAAGAGAGAACTCAAATTTGAAACAGACTACGTAAAATAAGCAATTATACCATCAGTGTTTTAAGATCTATTTAGATCTCTAATAACCACAGAGGGGCTGCCGAGCCAAAGGTATACCCAAAAAAGATTATGACAGCAGACTTAGTCAAAGACTTATGCACAAATATCTGCGACCAAAGGTATCATACTATTCAGGAATAACTACTCAAGAGAAAACTAAGTATACAAGCATGATAAATTGTTCTTAGGCAAAAGTCATTGTATGCCTAGTAAAATAAAAGTGAAATTAGATAGCAGCTCCACGTTCTCTTTGTCAATAAAATCAACATACTTTAAGCAAAAATCACAAAACTGTTCAGAAAATATCAAGCATTTAAGTAATCAAGGAAACAAATTCAAGAACCTCCAAGACTTGCAATGGATCAAGTGCTTCTCCATGATTGTGCAGCAGGCGAACAGCAGCACTAAACATGGGCTCTTTCCCGTCTTTTGGGTCCAGATACATTTCAAGCAACCTATATCGGGTACAGATAAATATAAGTACATCCATGTTAATCCTGACATCATGCTACTTGAAATGATATTTCCATCAGCTCAGAGTAGGAGGAACACAAAGCCAAAATGATAACATCCGCCAAAGCAGATTAACATTTCATAGCGAGAACAATAGAACTTACTGCATATAGGCATCCGGTCTACCAATCTCTGCACAGTATTGTTCAGCAGCTTCACAGTCCTCAAGCTTTCTGAACAAATACAAATTTGAAAGGCATGAATATATTTACATTCAGGGTTTGTCAAAATATATATATATATATATATATATATATATTTACATTCAGGAGATTACCGTGGATACTCACTATGAGAAATTGCAAATTCAAGACATTATTTTATGAAGTTATAGGCAGAAACTTCCAGCCTTTTAGAGTGAAAACTCCTAATTGTGTTACTAATAATGAATAAAAGAACAATAGCAGCAACGATAATAATACAAAAAGAGGAAAACAAATCCAGATTCATATCAAAACAATAGACATGGTAACACTATAAGCTAGGAAATCTGGAGCATATGTTCCTTCAATGGCCAAATTGAGTACCATCCTTGAATAATCCACAAGAATCTGATAGACTTCTTTTAAACAAATCAATTTTTATAACCCAAACTTCGATAAGATCTGACATCAAATTATCATGCAATCTTCTACTATCAGCAACTCAGTGTGGGCAGGCCTTAGCCTTTTAAATTTGCTACAATTCAAGAGATATTTTATGACAGGATAACTTGACAGCTTCAGTCTAAAAGCAGCAAGGCTTAAAGAAATAAATGATACATCCCTGGTTAAAACTTTGTAATCTTTCCCACCAAATATATGTTCAAGCAGTTCTTTACAAAGAGATACAGGGGAATATATCATTATCAGTAATTACAAAAAAAAATAATATTAATAATAATAATACAATTCGCATAGCAGTTTTCATCAAAGACAGCCAAGTGTGGAATTTTAATGAACTTAGAAGGTAGACCTAATGGGGTGGGACCTAAAGTCATTCCAGGACCTAAATTGCAAGGATCGAGACGCACAAAGTATTAAGGGAGAGAACTAAATTCTTACATTCCATCAGAAGTAATAACTATGAAACTTACAGGGCTAAAATTTGTAGAGCTAATGTTTCTTGACCAAGCTTCCGGTAAAGAATGGCCTGCAATAAGAACATAGACCACCAGCTAATGAAAAATGCATACTATTTCAGTTACAAGTGTTGCACTATTTCAAACAATTGATAAGGCAAGAGATTTCACAGAAGAAGAAACAACTTGGGAGAAGTCTATATCATGACGATGGTATACGCTTATAAATGAAAATTAACTTTTAGCACAAAGAATAAGTAATTGTTATGGACCTTTTCAAGCCACAGTTCAGATCCTTCAATCAGGTCAAGGACCTCTTCAGGGTCATACAAGTCCGAAGATTGTAAAAACGACTGCAATCTTTCTCTGACCGGCCTCTCGAAAATTGAGTTCTTTCCAGAATAGGCAATCTGCCCTTCACTTGAAAGTACAGCTCCAGAACTCATAAGTTCATGCTCAATCTCCCAAGTTTCCAGTGATGACTTAGCAAGCAAAAGTGCATACATAGTGTGGAATTGAGTATCATCAGAATCTTGATCTTCAATCAACCATTGAAGATATCTGTAGAGAAAAGATGCAAGCAGCATTCCACAAGATACATCAGAGGATATCGGATGGGACTGAAAACCTTAAAAACAAAAACAACAAAAACACGTCATTGCAGATTTCATGCTAAACTATACCAGAATAACAAAGATCATGATGCAAAATAATAGCTACTGTCATTGATTACGCCCCAAATTCTTCATTTGACTTTCCTTTCCCTTGCTGGTTTTGTGAATTCCAGATAATATCAGATCAACTATATGAGAAATTTTTCTATTTTTCAAACTGAAAACCCAATGTAGGTCCAACAACAAAAATTTTGAACAATAGGAACTATGGAACACAAAAAAAGAAGAAGGGAAAGAAAGGAACAATGGTTTTTTCAGTTCCAAAGGACACACTTAATGAAATACATCTTTCACAAGTCAAAATTACAAGTACAGTGCTACACAACAGTCACAGGTTTGCTTTACACAAAACTGCAATACTATGAAACAGACATCATGTGAAGCACAAAGTAAATATTTCAATCCCATAGAGAACCTACACAACATCCACTAAAGTGTGAAATCCAGCGTTACACATTTTTCAAGTAAACGCAGTTAATACATCGAGAACAGGACTCGGCAATTTAATTTTTGAATAAGCATTATAATCACATCATCAAAGCAATCATGATTACAAAAACCATGAAGTGGTAACAGGATCATGAGACCTATACAAACTAGAGAGGCGAATAGCTGATCCAAATGAGAATTATGTGTTTTCAGCTTTTTGGTTTTCCAAATAAACCTCCGCTTTCCATTTTCAAAATTATACTATGGTCCAACCCATAACAAAAATAGAGATTCAAAAACAAAGAAACTGAAACAATGTAAGGATGCATATCACGTGAAACATTAGTATGACCAAGAGGACGTAGATTTTCATTGAAGCCATACAACAAAATGAACTGAGAACAGCAACGCTTTCAGCATCAGTAGCAATACCACCGCTACCTGGTTCAATGACACATCTGAAGACCACTAATGAGTCGGCCAACAAAAAAGGAGTAAAAACCAATTCTAAATAGAAAACAAAATTTTTTGGATATAAAGAAGACCTACTTATTACAACTCCTCATTTGGAGAGCAACCAAGATTACCTTTGTAGAATTTCCACTTTTCTAGGATCAATAGCTGCAATCACCTCATCTGACACGAAAATTCATGTTAGAGAGAGATACAAGTAGATACTATGCACTTAAAAAAAGTAGCAGCTATATTGAACATTCACCAAGCCAGACAAGTAGAAGGATCAGTTAAAGAGGCTGAGTGAAGTCCATACAAAACATCTCTGAAGGCTTGAAAATTCAATTTACCTTACGAATGACTATGACTATCCATAAGAATACAGGAGAGAGGGGGGGGGGAGGTGGGGGTGGTGACAAGAAAATCACTGTCTTCTCCATAAATCTGCTTAGATATTATGTAGCAACTTACAACTTTAAAATATGCATGCTTAGAAGCAAGCAAACAAAGAAGGAAAAGTTTTTACATTAGCAGACTTTACCTGGGGAAAGCATATCACTTCTTTGATCAGAGATTAAAACTTGAACAGCAAGCATCTGGCTGATGTCTGAAATCTGATATAAGATGCAGAAATGTTTAGTCAATTATATACATATCGAAAATGAGATATTTAGAATCTTGACATACCCATCCCAGGTGCTGCAATACCAAATCTTGGTCGGAAGACTTCTCCAAGATATTTGAAGCCTCAACAACAGCAGTCTCCTGACCAGATGTAATAGTCTTCATTTTCGCAGCTTGATCTCCATAGTTTGGTGAAAAGTCTCTAGCCAACTTACGCCAAATAGCAAGAGCTTTAGAGCTCATCCCCTTGCTAGCGTAAAGAAAGGCAAGCGTCCTTAGATGTCCAGAGTCATTCAACAGCATTTCCAGTTCCTCCTGCACTGCCAATCAAAGTAGCATGGTCAACTTAAGTGGCTCCAAGCGTAGAAAGTACTTCAAGATCAGTGTTTACGAGGAATCAATAACATATACTTGCATTAACTCCCGGATGCAACACAAAAGCAGTCCCATCACGGGAGCCAGCCAGGGATATAAACTTCAAACCAGGAAGTTCAACAAAAAAGGCAGCGAGCCACTCTAGCTCCTCAAAGTATTCGTGATTAGAAGTTCAAATTATAAATCAAAGCTGATTATGACTTTGAACTCACTGAATACCAATTAATTTCAGGTCTTCCTCGCCAAAAATGATGCATACAGATCAAGTCGAACACTGATTGTTTCTAGTTTCAGTAGTTAGGAGGAAGCCATGACACCAATATACCCCTCACTCCTCAAAACATCCAAACCTCAGGTGGCCACCGTCGTTAACTAATGTTCAAAAGAAGTTGCAGGAAAAGCCACTTCAATTAAGGCTGGTTGCCACTATTTGCAGAACGCAACACCAACACCCCCCAGCAGACACGCCCAAAAAAAAAAAAGAAAAGGAAAACGATGGCAGAACATGCTTTTAAATAAATAAAGGCAATTGGTAAGAAGACAATGGTTTTGGGAGAAAGGTGTATTTTGGATGATACATACCACTACACAGCTGTTCTCAGAAGATGCTAGTCTTTCCATATCATCGACACTATTGAGTGCTCTAAAAAGGTACATCAAAAGAGTGTCAACTCCTTCTCTCACTGAAGGGGATAACTCTTTATTGCGAGAAACTTCCAGATACCTGCAGAGGTAAGACAAACAAGATCTTTTATTATGAAAAAGCCCAAGAATAATTAATGGAAATTCAAGGTGAAACGAACAATTCAACTTAATACTTTAATCATCTTTACTAAAGATGCAAGATCATGTCAACCAGCAAGAAAATGCCCAAAGGAAAAAGAAGGCTATGTTTGTGTGAAAATTTCCCAACCAATATCTCAAGCAATTTTAGGCAAAACAAACCTCCAACCTATTTTTTGTTTCCCTTCAAAGTCATTTCCCTTTCCAAGAAAAAATTCTTTGAGGAAAGGTCCCAAGTATAGCCTAAAACTATCCTTTGAAACCTCTACCAGATTCAAGATAAAGTGGGCAAAAGTTTATTAGCAACCGAAAAACTTCATTACCTAATAAAGTTTTTAATTGCAGCCTCCAGTAATTGAGCTCTAGACGGTGGGTTAACAAGGAACTCATCATCTATATTAGTCTCAACGCCTGCTTTTTTCAAATATATAGCTCTTTGAATAGTTTTCAATCCATCATCGACGACATTTTCAAGTAGAGTAGGAGGAGGATGCAAGCCCCAATAGCGGTTCCTTGGAACCTGCAAAATACAACTTCGCTTAAGCATTCTCAGAATGAGTCACTTTATTAAGCATCAAACAAGTTCCTGGAGGACATCGCATCAACCCTAGCTAACCCTAAAACTGACTAGCTGCTCTATTATACCAAGGAAAATGGTAGAATAAAACAGGCAAAAAGTTATATGCTCTCTCACACATTTTCTAATGCAGTTATCAGCACCATCTGAAGGACAAGCATTTTGCTTCTTCAAATGGGGCTATCAATGTCTGAACTCAGTGGATTCGTATTTAATGAAACACGCTTTCAGATCATCAAACAGGAAAGACAGCCATCATAACAAATAAGAACATAGGAAACATGTCGATAAAGAAAGTCAACAACACAAGCATTTTGCCATGATTGATGAAGATCAGGCTTCCCATCTAAAAAAATTTAACAACAATAAAGGCTTTCTTATGTCCATCACAAACAAATTTGTTCCAGATAACTGGTTTGAATCAGTCATGTAAATATGATCCGGTGGTCTAAAAGATATTTAAACCCAATTACTTTTCCCTTCCTCAGGAAAATGAAAAGGTAATATATTAAGATATTATTTTTGCACCATTAGCATCTATACATATCAATTATTCATAAAAATCGTACACGGAAACAGAAAGTATGCCTAAATACGACTCTAATTCTTCCTACGGATACCTTCTAACAAGTATTGCAGATGTAAGAAGAAAAGAACAACTTAAGACATTAACTCAAAGGATGGAAATACCAGAAGCGACCAGCGGTTTGGGTCCGCCATAATGAAAGGGAAAAGTTCAGAAGGTTGCATGGTTTCTGAATGCAAGAAATGATCGACTGCTTCTTCAAATTGCAAGTCAAACAGCAAAAGGAGTCCCACTTGAGCATGAAGATTTGATAACATTTCCTTGGTGATTTCACCTTCAGCCTGGAGCTCTTCAGCCAAGGAAATGGCTTCATTGAAGCACTTCTTGCGTAACAAGTCTCTGATTTGTTCTTCCCAAGGCACTTTCTGGTAGCAAATAATCTGGAACCAAAACATAAGCAGAGAGAAATGGGCATCATGAATTTTATCAGTATAAAAAAAGTAATGACCATCCATGTTACAGAAAATGAACAATTCTTGAACCAACAACCATAAACAGTCTTCTTTATAATCATACTTGATGAATTTGCCTCAGTAACAAGTTTCCGTCAACTCTAAAGAACTCAATAAATGGTCAAAGAACTCTTTACATGCTTTTCTTCATGCAGAAACAATTATTTAAGCATGATTTTAAAAACTTGGCCAAAGGAAGAGAAATAACAGAAGGCGGAAAAATTAATAAAAAAATCCAACTCTAGTTCAAAAACATTGAAGAACTCTAGTGCTAAACCTCATCCTGTGACAAATATTTCAAGACCCAGATGCCTTGTTGGGGAATGGCGCTCGGAACACATGTTTTGGACTAGTATTAAATGTTTTAAGGGGTTGATTGTTCATATAAAATGTCAGCCTGGTGCTTAGAAACTACCACATTGGTAGGTCTGGGGAACTGTTTGTCATTAAGACCTAATGCACATGGCTTTCCATTTCATTTCTGTAAGAGGTAGTTTTCTAACCTCAACCCAATATATTCCAATCACATGGCAAAAGCCACCAGGAAAAACCTATCATTCTTAATAGACATTTCCGGCAACTGGTTACATAGGCCAACTATCTGAACATTACAATTGATGAGAATATTCAAGTTTCTATATCAACAATCAGAATAGCAGAAGACTCTTCGGCCCTTCACAGATTTCGGCCCTTCATCCAGCTAATCATTTTATGGAACTTTTCTCAATCCCCACACACTCTTCCTGACAATATTGATAGTATCCAGCCGTTTCATGACTTTATCTCAAACACCTGTCTAACCAAGGCGTCTTTCAGTGATTCTTGAGTGCTGCAGAGAACTATGGCCACTGGAACAATAGCTGCCCCAAACTAAGAGCCATCTTTACAGGTGAAAAAAATTAGCTGTAAAGCCCGTAGTGATATAGATTTATTAAAAATCAACTCTGTTGGGCTCTTAGTGACCTTAACTTTTAAAATGCAAGGACAAGACCATATGAGACTGGAGAACAGTTGTGGTGAATTATATCATATCTTATTGTTGTTCCTTCTCTTGGAATGTCACTAGCTTGCTAATTTCATTACCAAATGTTTCATCAACTTGCTAGTTTGTCGTATTTCATAACCTATTTCCTTCATATACACTGGATTTAGTATTACAGTGTTAAACCTCTGAGCTCTTTGGTCCTAGTAGGCAGGAGAATTCAACCATCTGTCATCTATTGAAGCTAAACATGCTTCTCCTCTTAAAACAAGTATGATATAATAACAAAATAAAATGTCTTGCCAGGAATAATATAGTAACATAAACATTCGAAAATAAAGCAGCTAAGCAGAATCCAGACAACATTTATTTAAAAGTTCGTGTAAAATGTGACGAGGGAACCCTTATTGCTCTTATGTAAACTAGATGCAATGAGACTATGATAATGATGAAACAAATTTAAAACTAGCCAGGTAATATCATATACCTTTGAACTTGTTGATATCACCACATACTCTCCTCCATTCTCCTGATCTGTCACAAGGCATGAATCACCACTTGCATCGGCAGGAAGCATTACCAGTTGCACGCGGTTTCCTGATTGCTTATGATACACCTCTACCTTCCCACGCTTCACCACTACTACCACATGTGACCCAATCTCCCCTATAGAATCAGGCATACCCTGAAACACAAAGCTACCACCCACCGGCTGCCCATCAGTATCTACAGTAACAGCAACATTGTCCACCACCAACAACACTCGGCATTCCTTAACCAACAACTTCAACTGTGGCCTCGACAACTCTGGCAAAGAGAAGATCATTCCACATTGCCCACTCACACACGAATACAAAAAATAACCACTCTTGTTGCCGAATATCACCGAATCATCAACCCATACCATATCCATTATCGCCCCGTCAAAAACGCCCACAATTTCCTTCACAACAACAAGCGCACCATTCGGATTCAACTCCAAAAATACCAATTTCTTACTTGTAGCCGCCACGAAGAAGCTACTTCTACTGCTGCTACTGCCATTGGATTGAGCTTCATACCTCTCATGCCTATTGTAACCATTATTTTTACTGAAAAATCTACGGGCAAAAACAGTAACTCCCCCTTTAACAGCACTAACCTTCTTCGCAGGTTCGACTAAGAACGACTCCAACAAGTACAAAAACCCATCGCCGGCCAGCACAATGACTTTACCGAGTGTCCCAACAACTCGGATGGAAACTAAGGCCGTCCCATTTGCGATCACGGTCTGTTTGAGGAGGGAGAGGCGGTTTTCGGGAGTAGCATCCGGGTTTACCGACAGCAAATACAAGGCGCCGGTGAAGGTACCTACGTATATCAAACATTGACGAGGATCGGAGGGGAGAGCTGTGACAGCGAGGGATTTGATGGCGATGGGCGCTCGCAAATGGGGGAGGGAAGATGAGTTGCCGGTGAAATTGAAGTCGGCGAGTTGTTCGATGAAGGGTCGGAATTTTGCTTCGGGTTTGGATTTGGATTTTGGATTCGCCATTGGATTAGAGAAGAAGGAACAGGGGGACTGTAAGCTTGGAAGTTTGCTTGACTTGTAGTTGTCGCTTAAGAAGAAAGTCTCGATGAATGCCATAAACATTCATTAGTAAAACTAACTACCCACGTTCAAAAAAACCATAAACATTCATAGTTACTGCAGTTAACATTAACACCAAAAAAAAAAAATTTAGTAGAAACAGCATGACACTTTCAATAGCAGCTATTCCAATGGAGGACAAAAAAATCAAATAAACAGTTCAGACGACAATGAATGATTAGTACAATATCTTATTGATCGGCTTATGTGCACAATTACTATTCTATGAATAGGTAGAAAGCAAACAAATTAATGAACTACCTAAGTTTTTTTTTTACTGAATCAATCTTTTCCCTCTATTAACAAAAAAGAAAAACATTTTTTTGATATATTGAATACACTACCGCTGAAGACATAGCCCTTCTTGAGACTTATGTTCATGTTATTAACACAATCTACTTGTTGGGTGGTATCAATCACATGATGATTTTTGAAAAAAGGTACTCCCTCCATTCCAAAATAAGTGTCGTCCTACACTTTGTATATAGTTTAAGAAACTCTTAAATAGGGTAATAAAATTACTTTAATATTCTCAACCAACCCCATTATAAAATTGTCCACCAATAGCATCAACTATTTTGAGAGTAATTTTAGAAACTTTTGACAAAAAGTGCATTGAAATGTGAGAACGACACTTATTTTGAAATTTCTCTATTTTGCTAAAACGATACTTATTTTGGAATGGAAGTAGTATTGGATGAATATAATCTAGAACAAATCCCAAAGGATCGGTTCAACGCAATGAAAAATCTTTGCTGCAAGATGGCAAAAAATAGAGAAAACTGTGAAAAAATGACATGAATTGTATAAACAAGTGAAAAATGTGCATCTTAGTGGTGCAAATACAAAAGAATATGTAAGCAATTAATATATTTAATTGTGTGTTTATTTATAATTTTGTATTTTTTTTAACAACGGATTAACAATGGTATAAATATTACTTTAGGTGGTTCGTGCAAAAAAGTTATTTATACTTGAGAAAGGATTTGAAAAAAGGTTCAAATATGATCACGTGTGGAATTTGCTTAAAGACTTTATAATATAATGATGTTGTATGACACATGTTCAACCAAACCTCTAACTTTGTTATTCTATCTAATTTTGATTCTCAAATGTTGATTGAAATTGATAATAGCGAATCTTCTTCCAAAAGATCTATTGATGTAAAACAAACTAAAAAATAAGAGGAAAATGGATGAACTATCTGCTAGTGATATTGAAATGTATAGACAAGAGAATCAACAGTTTCTTGATGTTTTAAAAAAGACAAGTGAAGTCCATAGCGAGTTGATAGCACTACAGAAGCAAAAGTTAATTTTGAAGCAATAAAGGAAAGAAAATAAAATTATGGCGATAAATGTGACCAAAATTAGATCATGTTTGTCATGTTTTAATTTTTAGTGAAAAAGAATAAATTATTCAACAACGTTTATAGCACTAGCACCAGTTTGCTGCTCCCATATGGTGTTTGGGTGCAACTTTGGAGCTCCCATACAACAAAAACGTGCAGCAAATAGATGATTTGTTGTACATTATAGATACTCTAATACCATATTGCAAACTTTTTAGGAATTATAATGTGTGTCAAAATAGAAAATCATAATCTAGTCTTCAAAATATATATACTTAAAAAATTATTTTTCTCAATGAGTTGGATAAAAAAAAATTTACATTAAATTCGCCTTCTATAAATTTCGAGTTTAACATTTGTAGTGATACATATAATATAAATAATTGGGTGGAAAAATGTTAGGAAAACGATTTTGGTGGAGATACTTTAGATTTGGTTATGATGAATTTGAAGATCGAATTTAATGTTGTCCGAGTATGCCAGTTTCTAGATCCCTTTAGTTGGATTCAAGGGCATAAAATCAAAATATGTAGAGTTTAGAGACTAAATTTTTAGTTCATCTTAGAGCAATTTTAGATTGGAAAGTTGGTATGTCTGTGATTATTTGTTCGCAAGTGAGAAGCCCTATTAGTTACTTGACGAATCCATATCCATCACCAATATTGGACCGGCCCATTAACCGAATAAAGAGCCCAACCCACTCTATTAAGCCGTTTTGAGCAACACGAAACCTAATAGGACTTGGTTATCTCCCAAGTAACTTCATGCCTATAAATAGGGTTGGTTATACCACAATTGAGGTATGCTATCTCTAGCACAAAACACTATTCACATACATTCTTTAAACCCTTTTCTGACTTAAGCATCGGAGTTTCTACTCCCGAGAGACCCCAGAGGCCTTCTTTTGCAGGAAACCTTAGCCGAAATTCCACTACCAAGTCGGCGGTGTAAAATCAGGCTTCGTCAAGTGGCATGCCCGGTGGGACCCAAAAATTAGGGTTTGTGTCACGAAAACCTTTTCAGTTTTCCTAACCTTCTCCGGTGCGACTTAGGATTTCGGAAACCACGCACACCATGGCCACATTTGAAGAGGACGCGAGCAGCACGGCATCTTCCGGTAGACTGCATAGTCCAACAGATAACACTACCCTGGCAGAATTCTAACGACGACAGGAAAAAAAGAAGACGAGAAAGGGCCATGAAAGAGGACCCGAGAAAGAACCAGGGAAAGAACGTCTGGTCCTCGGAACTTCACAGCCTAATCCAGGGAAACCAGACAAAGCAAATCCCCCGACCAAGAAAAAGGATTTGCCTCCTCCTCGAAATACCAGAGCATCCAGGAAACGCTTGGAGGATCAAAAGTTGGCTGAAATCGAGGCTGAATTCAAAAAGCTGCGGGATGACAGCGATCAAAATCAAAGGAAAAAAAAATGTTCTCGAGGAAACAAGGCGTCGCTGTCTCCTGGGAAAGCCTGACCCAACCGAACAAGAATTAGCTGACTTGATTGACGAGAAGGAATCCCGATGCACTTTAGCTCTTCTCAAGAAGAAACAAGGCAAGCGAAAGGTCCAGGAGGAGAGGGACTATCAAGAGTATTCAGATCGCGAAGGCTTCATGGATAAACATTCAACCACCACTCGAGACACCATTTACTGGAATGCTTTCAGGAAGAAATATCCAGCCTTTGATATGGCCATTGAAGAGTTTGATACGGTGTACAGACGCAAGGATCCTCGAGACCACTACCAAAAAGAATCCCCAAGTGTCCAGGTTATGGAAGAGGGAGAATGGAACCCTTTGAGAAGGACCAATGTTCACAGCCAATTAGGACCCAACTGGCACCGAAATAGTTCTCGAATGGAGGAATACGTACCTTTCCATAGACACCAAAACGACGGCGATACCGGAGAGGATTATGGGCGGGGGCATCACCGTCATCTTCAGTATTCGCCTCCCAGGCGGCAACAACATAACAACCACGAAGAGATCCCACCTTATCTTCCTTGAGGTCAGCACAGAGTAAGAGGCCAAAACGCTTTGATCCGAGACGAGATAAGGAAGATCATTGGAATGGTCGTAGACCGGATTTCCTTTATACCAGACATTCGAGATGAGCCGAAGCCCCAGGACTTCGACTTCCCCAAGGACTTCACCAAATACTCGAGAGATACGGACGTCTCCCAGTGGCTGCAGGGGTATGTCTAGGTCATGAGGATCAGGAATGCATCGTTGAATTTTATGGCTAAAGCTCTACGGTAGTTTGGACAGTTACTAGAAGGAAGTATAATCAGTTTCAAGGACTTATCAGTCAAATTGGCAACTCGGTTCTTTCAGAGTAAGCAAATCTCTAGAATGTCCATTGACCTTTCCTTGATCAAGCAGGGTCAACATGAAAGTCTCTCAGACTTCCATCGGTGTTTCATCCCGAAACCTTACAAGTTGACAACATAGATTAACGGGATGTCCAGAATGGTTTTATCTAAGGGCTCAACCCATTTGGAAAATCCTCAATGCTAAGAGTAAAACTTTCAACTAAACCTCCTAGGAACTCTCAAGAGATGTGGGCTATTGTCGAGAACCATATTCAACAAGCGCACACACTCAAGATATCACAAGAATCTTTCACGGCAGTAGGGCCAAGAGACAAACCAAGGGTTAACACAGAAAGTAAGACAACGCTGCCTAAACTCGAGAGGCAGTTGACGCCTTTGACTAAGCTACGCCGAGAAATCCTTCAGATTCACAAGGACGAGTTACCTACCCCAAAACCTTTAGCACCCAATCCAAACAGGTCGACGGAACAGTATTTTGAATATCACAAAGACCACGGCCACGATACTGAGGATTGTCGAGAACTCAAGAAGGAAATTAAGAACGGAGTTAAGTCAGATAAATTCCAACAATATGTGCAAGGACCCTCTCGAAAAAGAAACAGCAAGCCTGGTACATCCCGAAACTTTCCCAAACGGAATTTCAGGGGTCCTTGAGGAGAAAGCTGTCGGAATAATTGGCAACCGAGGAACAATACGCAACAACCTCCTCAACAAACTATCGAGTGAGTCCCACAACCGCTTCAACATATCCCTCCGGTAGATCCTACTAAGCAGTCACTCACCAGGTGGGTGCCATTTATGGAGCTCCTCCCGAAGTTTTATCTACCACAGCCATGAAAAACTCAGTAAGGACCGCCACAAAAACTCCCCGTCAGGAACCTAGTCACAAGAGGTTCAAAGGGATAGAGGCCATAGTTTTCACTGACAGCGACGTAGTCCCGGATATCTGTCCACACAGTGATGTCATGGTTATCGAGGTGATAATCGGAAATGTGCAAGTCAGTTGGGTTTATGCGGACAACGGCAGCGCAGTTGACATCATCTACATCGATTGCTTCAAAAAGATGAACATTCAAAACCCTAATATCTGCCAAGCAACAATGCCATTGATGGGCTTTTCGGGCCACACCATTATCCCAACTGGAATCATAAGTCTCCCCACTACGATAGGGTCACATCCCAGAATGGTTACATTAACCATGGATTTCGCCTTAATAGATGCACCCTCGCCGTTCAATATGATCCTGAGACGACCCTAGATGTGCCAAACCCGAGCAATTTGATCTCCTTATCACCTAGTGATGAAATTTCCTATAGAATACGGAGTTGGAGCAGTGCAGGGCTACTAGCGCAGTTCTCGAGAATGTTTGCTCACAGCTGTCAAGACTGGGA